TATAGGCAGGAATCTTCTCTCATGCATAGAAACATCCAATTTGAAGATCGTGAATTGATGAAAACTTGAGATTTTCTAATAGAGACGAAGGAACTGCAAAAAGAGGTTGTGCTTAATCTGAAATATCCCTAGTGCTTTGGGGAAGGCGTTTTCCTTAGATGATGAGTTGCAACTCACATCAGCGTTGCATTTTCGGTTCGGAAAATGTTCGTAAGAAGTTGATGCAGCAATGACATTCGCATGCGTTAACATCGCTCCCTTCGGTGTTCCAGTTGTTCCAGATGTATAGCATATCGTACAAAGATCACTTGGTTTTGGTTCCTTAAAATGCTTTGTTTGAATTGGATGCATTCAGTCCAGAACTTGCTTGCCCACAGAGTTCGTGATTTGCTAATCTTAACTTGTTCTGGCTATAAAATCACGCTAGACCGACGCAGATCAAATAAAATAAATTCGAATCGATCCTCTGAAAGACTGATCAGCTGTTCCTCGAACGAAAAATGAACGGCTTTGCTTACATGTGTCAGAAAAAACAACCTACTTCTATAATCCACCTGTAAGGCTGCAGCTACGAATACGTGGAAAAGAAAAACTAATAGTTTTGGAAACAAAACAATTCAATCGAACGTGAAGGAAAAGTTTGTTTCCACGGGAAGCTGTAAAAAAGCAATCGAGTCAACAAATCACAATCGCAGAAACTAACGATAAGTTCTGGTTTCGGGGTTAGTTCACGACCTGCCTTCTCGAGTTCAGTCAGCGACAACAGTTGAATGTTGACTTGTTTCGCTGTTTCCCTTATGTTCACATCACAGTCATCCATGATCACGATAAATTTCAGCGATGGGCAGTGTAACCTATTTGTGATCAGACCTGAAATCAGCCAGCAATGAATTAGCTAACACTGTTTATCTGTCACACTGCAGGTTTATTAAATGTGACGTGGCCAGTGCTGTCACTTCACCGTGTGTGCAAGAGTTCTTTTTTTTTCACATTTCATCCCATTTGCAGGACAGGGTTTTAGTGATCTGATGAAGACCCCATGATGATGTAAAGCACTCTTACTCAATTCTTTCGTAAGCTTAATGAATATACATGAACACTGCTGATTGTTAGCTGTTGAAAGATAG